AACAGAAACTACAGGAGGAAGTAATCCTCAACAGTGTAGACTTTGCTTAGGAACCAAAGGATCCTATGATTACAGAGACTGTTCAGAAGCAATCTGTATGGTATGCAGACAAAAAGGATATACCAAAAGATGGTATCCAGAATTTACGTGTAGGAAATATAATCAACAAGATTACCATCAATTAAATTGTATTAAAACAATCTGCACTAACTGTAACCAACCTGGACATATTGAAGCATATTGTACCAACCAAAAGTGTATCTACTGCTGGGAAGAAGGCCACACCTTAAATACCTATAACAAAAAATTACTGTGGGATACTAACAAAAATAAAGAATGTGGATATAACTTGAATAGGATTCAAAATATGAAATCCTATTGGATAACAAACCCTAACTCAATAACATCACGACATAAGTATTACCACTGTTGTAAATATCAACGACCAAGTGATGGTAATAGACCTAAATTAAACAAAATAACTATAGCACAAGGAACACTCTTATATTGCGAAGAATATCGAATAATTAAGTTTAATCAATTAAAAAAGAATGAAGCCTACGAAAATTTGAATAATACTAGGCAATACAACAATACTAACAACTTCAGGAACAACTTGAAGATGAAGGACATCTTATCAAATATAAAGGATGTGGATCAGATGAAATCTGATAACACATGGTTAATCAAGACCAAGACTTCTTTTGCATAAAAGAAGAACGATTAGCATACACCTTAGACTTCAAATTAAAGTATAACCCAAATTATATATACGAAGAAAGACTCAGACATTGGACTGGATCCAATTCTGTAAGAATGTCACAGTATGACATCAATATTACTAAAACAAGAAAACTATTTCAAGAATAGAGAACCAACGGAATTATGAATCCTGAAACAGTTAAATGAGAAAATAAGATGACTGATGTAATCTCAACACTTCAAGGACAAGCATTATATCAAATATTGCATGATGAAGATAACTATATGTATAAATCAGAAGACAAAACATTACTCTAAAGAGCATACCAACAACCAGAAACAGAAGTACAGATATTATCAAACCAACAGTACGAAGAGCAAAGAGCTCTAAGAATAGCATAAGATGAAAGTGCAAAAGTAACCAATAAAGCAAAAATCTTTGAAGGATACAACAGAGAATACTTCGAACAAATGGAAGGTGAACAAGTACTTTGTAGACATGAAAATTGTATGATGCAATAGTATTAACCCAAACTGATGAATACACTAGAACAATAATTGAAAAAAAAAAGCATGAGGACCACAGTAAAAAAGAATACTGCGAAGAATATCACTGTAGTTATTATCATAAAAAATATTACAAAGAAGTATTTGACTCAAAAGAATTCTGTATCAATTGCAATCAAGAAAATGAACTCTTAACACCTTTTGAAAAGAAAGAAGCAATATATAAAAATGTTACCAATGAAAAAATGAAGTAACAGAAGGAAAAAAGAAATATGAAAAACCAATAGAACTAATTTCTTATATCATCATACAAGAAATAGGTGAACCAATAGAAGAATGGATCGCTAGAGGATTTATCTTTCTTGAAGAAAGACTAAATCGAGCTTATAATGCAATTAATTATTTGGAAGAAAAAAGGGCAAAACAAAACCAAATGATAGAAATAATTCTGAACCAATTAGAAGAACAAAATCTCAAAAATAATAAAAGAACTAACCAAATAGTAAAAAGCTTTGAAACATTGGAAGATGAATTAACTGACATAGCAGAAAGGATAAACTGACCTTTAACAAGAGAACCATTAATCTACAATCAACCACATCTTCAAATAGAAGCAAGAAAAATACAATAAGAAGTTCAAAACTGAGCATTTCTATTATTATTAAGAGAAGGATAGCAAACCTGGTTACAACAAAGTAGCAAATTACTTTTTGAGAACGAAGCTATTATAATATCTAAATGGGACCTCTTAAGAATAGAACGAATGGAAAAGGGAGTAACAATATTACAAAAACTACAAGAAAGACAAGCATGGTCACCAACAGTACGATCTAGAGTTATCGATCAAACTATTTATGAATTAAACAAAGAAGAATTCGAAAAAAGTTTAAGAAATAGAAAAGATCTTCATCAGCACCAGCAACACCAATTACAATTAATATTACTCAGCATAATTAAAAGAAAAATAGTTAATATAACCAAATATAGTTTATTAAATAGTATTAGTAAAATTTATAAATAAATATATAAATATTATTGTATAACATAGCTTTAAGAGTGTGTTAATGAGTATAACTATATCTGGAAGAACACGACTACACTGTGTGATAGAAGAGGCACAGTAGCACTGAGATAAACATATTTATCAAGGCACACAAATAGGATAATATTAATATATTCCAAAAAGGATAATTTATAATTCTGAGAATAAATAGATAGATATAATTAAAGTTTATCTGATAATATACCTATAATGGGAAAAGTGTATGATAGCTTTGTGTGATATAGGGCATAGTAGTATTAGAAAAACAACAAGGGTGTAACAAATATTTAATCAAATCACGAGTGTATTGGGGTAATACTTGAAATAAACATTCAATATTCAACATATTTACTAGAATATAGAAATCCAGAAATAAAAAATATAAAATAGCTTTATAGTTACAATAAGATAAAACCACAAGATGATACTCACAGGGTACAAGATTATTAAAAAATTTAATCATCATGTCTTGGAGAAGCATAATCAATATTTATTAAACAAACAATGCCATAAAATAAATTACTGATAAGAACAAAGAAATCTTTATTGTGAAACACCAATATTTGATCCTTGAGAAGACATTTTCAAGGGTGAAAACACTGAAGTACTATGGGAAAGTAATAAATGAGGGTATTACAATTACCAATTGAGTACTACACCAAAAAGTATTTAAAGAAACAAAATCCAACTAGAACAAATATTTAGAATGAATAGATCTGAATAAGAGAACAATAATCAATAACACTAATATATGTAGAAAAATATATCAAATATTACAAGAATTTATTGTATTATTCAATACACCAATTATATCTGAAATCTTAACTAAAATAGCACTAAACAAGATTAGCCTTGAAGAACTAGCAAATACGAACGAACTCTTTCAAAACCTTACACCAGGAATATTAGATTACCAAGCAAAACTAAAAGAATTAGTTATCCTTGACGGACAATGATACAAGGACAAAGTAATCAATCTAATAGATGAAGCACAACAGAAAGCTCAAAATGAATTGGAAAGGAATCCACCAACTAATCAAGCAGACTTTTGGAATAGCTGCTTACCACAAGTGTGGTATTAAATTCAAAATTGCAAAGCTTGTGACTATTGTCGAAAGTGAAAAGAAAGTGCGAACAGTTACCAAAGATCAAAGAGTATATTAACTGCTTAGAATTACAGCAACAGTATACAACATCAAAAGTAAATCAGCAAACAATCAGAAGAGGACCAAACATACTCATAGAACCAAAACCAGAAACAGTACAAAAGATTGAAAAGAAAGAATCAACAAAGGGATCTATTGAATATATTACCGATCAAAAAGAATTATTAGATTATATACTTGAGAAGTAAATCAAAAACAGATCGAAAACAAAGACTAAAAGACCTTAGACAAATATACAAAGAATTTAAGTTGACAAACCAAAATAAGAGTTGTAGAAATTGTCTCAATCACAAATCACATTGTATTAAAGAAGATAGATTAACAAAATATAGGCATTGCACATTAAGAAATGAAGAAGAGTATGATAATACACCATTACCAAAATACAGAATACCATGATTACCAATTAACAGATATTGTTCAAACTGTTTTGATAAAAGAATACGCTGTCTAAAAGCAGAAGGTCAACAAAAGTATACTAGCTGTACAAATAAAAATATAC